AGTGATTCTCCTGCCTCAGCCTCCCAAGTAACTGGGATTACAGGTGCCCACCACCATGCCCAACTAATTTTTTGTATTTTTAGTAGAGATGGTCTTTCACTATGTTGGCCAGGCTGGTCTCAAACTCCTGACCTCATGATCTGCCCTCCTGGGCCTTCCAAAGTGCTAGGATTACAGGCATAAGCCAACGCGCCCAGCCGAGATGCTTCCCTTTCTTTGAAGGACTCCTGCCTTGGTTGTGAGCGCACAGACACCCCCAATGTCCCCAGGCCTTGCTGGTGGAGGATTCCTGATGAACTTCTGCTCTGTTCTCCCAGCTCTACTGAGCTGAGTATTTGTTATCATCAACCCCCAACCCCTGAGAAGCTCCCTGGCCATTTTTCTTTCACCATTTCTAAATCTGTAACAGTCACCAGCCTACCTACTACGCAGATATGCCCAGGGTTTGCGTATTTCACTCACAAATCTCAATCCATCTCAAGGAGTAAGGGCATGTGGGTAATCTTCAACCTAAAAAAATAAACACTGTACTCAACCTAAGGCTAATTCTAGCTCTCACCAAGCTGGACAACTGTGCAAATCCACAGTAATTTCAGGAACAGGGGACTATTTTTTGGTGCCAGTGGTGGTGAGGCAGGTCTATACACAGCATCATATTAAAGACTGATTTGATTCCTACATAAGTTTCGTATCTTTTTGTTCCCATTGGCACCTACAAATCTACATCTAAACTGGGACAATTGGCTTCTAGTTTCATGAAACTGATTATGAGGAAACTGTGGCAAGAGAGAATGAATAGATCATTGTAAATTTGCTCTCAGTACTGGAAAAAAAAAATCTGATGATGTAAAACAAACAGCTTCAGAGACAGATGATCAGGCTGTCAACCCACATGGACACACCAAAGCCACAGGAAGACTCTTCACCTGGCCTTACATACAGCCTTCCCACAGAGCAGCAAAGCACACCCTCCTGGAGTACCCTCCGTTGAATCATGCATAAGACAAACAGCCAGAAAATAATCTCAGGGAAAATCATGGCCAGGAACCTGGGTAAATTTACTTTTTGTTCTTGTTTCTTGTTTTGTTCTTTGTTGTTTCTCATAGAACAATAAAGGAAATTAAACAGAAACCACGTGTATTCGTAATTCTAACATCCTAACAAAACCACTATAGTTCTCTGAATGCTCTTATCTAGATACACGTGTTTTGACTTTTGTCCCCACTGTCAATATTTTTACAATCACTCTGCCATGTTGCTACATGGTCTTTATGGCTATGTAATGGTCATACCACAATTCACTCAGCCTCTACTTTATTGTAGGACATTTGAATTGTAAACTACTTAATTTATTTATTTATTTTTTTTGCTGTCATAAATAACAGTGCTATGAACAGTTTTGTACATACAGCTGTGCTTTCCTTGAATTACTTCCTTATGATGCATTTCCATGACAGAAATTATAATACTGAAGAGAACGGATTTTTAAATTGATTGCTTTTCATGTATGTTTGTTATAAATCAACTTCTCAGAAACCGTGTCGGATGCTTGGTTGATGTATACAACTACAGCCTCTACTTATGTGAAATAAATTGTATTCATTTATTCTGATAAATGGCTATTCAGATTCTCAAAGTAAGCAAAGACTTTTGCTTAAAACAAGTATGTAGTTTGTCCTCTAGCAGATAAAAGATGGTGTTTTAATGCATGGGTAGTAAAGAGCTATTTCAGAATAATGTTCTTAAAGGCTTAACTTTGATGACTGACTCCATTCCAGGAAGGATCTAGAAGTTGCTAGTTTCTTCTAGTATCCATTCTTTCTGGCATCCCTGGTTTTATTCTGAGCAACAACGTAACCAGCTGTTAATTCCCAACTTCTCTTTCAACTATGGGGTGGTGGGCAAATGAGTTTTAAGCCTAAGTCACTGGGTGGGACAGACAGCTGAGAGTGCACCTGGAAGGTAATTTACCTAGCTTGCCTTCTCCCCACCTCTCTTGCTTTTTCCTGTGCCTAGAATGTTTGTTACAGCTGAAATTTCAGCAACCATTTTAAAACCATGAGGATGGGAGTTATATGGCAGGGACAGAGTGAAAATATGACATTTGAATCATCCAAGACTACCTACCTGCAGTCTTATTTATGGAAGAAAAAAACTTGGTATGTGCTTTAAGCCACTGTCATCTCAAGTCTCTATTACTAACAGCTGGACATGATCCCTGATTTACGTAATGTTTGTCTAGGACACTGGTTTTCAAACTCCAGTCTGCATCAGAATCATCTGGAGACCTTCTAAAACACAGATTGCTCCCCACCGTTCCCTCTTTCTCATTAAAGGGGAGGGAGATTTGCATCTCTAACAAGTTCCTAAGTGAGATTGATGCTGTTCTAAACTATGCTTTGAGAACCACTGTTAGGATATCTTTCCTGAACAATATTTCAATATTGAAAGCATTAGGCTGATTTAGTATTTACAATTTTGCAATAAGTATACATACCTCTTGATCCTAAGACACGATAGTTAGAAGTTCAGAAATATTTTATATGCTGTTTTATATGCTTTCTCTACATTGTTGAAGAGGTAGCTATCTAT